TGGTAACAATGTGAGAGTTTGTAAACCTAAATATTTCAAGAAGTATTATGATAGACCGTATTAAGAATGGTTACTAAGATGCGTCTCAAGAGTCATAAAAATATCTCCTTTACTCTGCCATTATAGTGCCGGGTTACTCCATATGAAAGTTGTAGGCCTATGTCTTCGAACTTTTGACGTTATCAATGACGTTTTGGGCAGACAAGAGAAGATAAGGATTGTCACCTTTTTTTTTTTGCTACTACCCTCTCCCCCTAACCAAAACGGGACATTGTCCTCAATGTTCTAAGGTAGAAAGATAGAGTATAGAAGATATCACCTGAAATAATGAACATTGATAAACCTGAAACACACTGAAACAAAAATAAGAAATAACAAAACACAATAATAAAAAATTACAAAATGAAGACTTAAATCTAATCTAAGCTTTTTACGTCTTTCCTTAGATGACCAATTTATGCGACTTATGGAGGGATCAATTACAAGAATGAAAGATTGTAGTTGGTCAATCAATTGTTCAGCAATAGCAGCAGAGATTATGATTTGTCATGCAGAAGATGTTAAAAATTCCTATTCCACAGCATAATTAAGAAAAGATAATAACTTATCATAGTAACCATTAACATTTAATAAACCTATGGGTTTATGGTGAATGTGCAGTTGAGCCCAAGAGGAAATATGGAAGTTCTCTTCCAATGTGCCTAGAGCACCTGGTAAAGCAATGAAGACATTAGTATAGTTAAAAATTGCATTCATTCGAGCCGACATTCTAGAGACCTGAAGTTCCTCTCCAATTGTTTTTCCAATGATGTTCCTTTGTGCGAAAGCTTCGGGGACAACCCCTAAAACTTGACTACCTCCTAAAAATACAGCTATTGACACACCTCCCATTAACCCAAGATTGCCTCCCTCATACACTAAATGAATCTTTCTCTCAGCTTGCACCTGACCAAGATGATTGGCTGATTCTAAAAACTCCTTTTCTTTCCCAAGATTAGATCCACAGAAAACACAAATATTTTGTATGTGATGACTTGAGGAACTTGCCATTTCTACACACTTCTATATGTATTGAATGTATGGGTTGAGTAAATGAAAGGAAGGAAGAGAGAAGTTTATAGATGAGAAATTAAAAAGGTGATCATACCATCTATATATAGACCAACTAGAGTCTCACACACTCTCTCTCTCTTTTTATTTATTTATTTATTTATTTTTGAAAAAGCATGTGTATGTACAGGTAGTTGTGATTGTGACTCACATCTTCCCTTGGTTTTACGTCCAAGAACGGCTTAAACGCCCTCTATGGGTCGGGGATAGGCTTCCCATCCAGTTTTCTATGGGTCGGGGATAGGCTCCCCATCCAGTTTTCTTAAAAACTGGAAAATATGTTCTTTTTTAGTCAGATTCCCAAGACTAAGTTGAGCATGTTCTTTATGAAAATGGGGTCATAAATCATGGATTGCACGATGCACATCTTCACTAGGATGCATCTCAAGAGTTAATAGAAGATTATCTAAAGACTCCTTACTCAGGCCATCCTTAATGAACTATATTTTATCTTCACGATTTATAGATACCATTCCTAAAGAATGACATTATGCATTACAAGTCCATCTAGCACATCGATGGCAGACTTTCAGTCGTTTTGCACGACGCTTCTTTGCAAAAGTGCTTACGACGTTTCTTTGCAAAAGTGCTTTTACCTATTCCAGGCATGTGTGAAATGAAGGAATTAGAGGACTCACCTGATAATCGGACTTGTGCTTCAATCAACCAGCGAATGTCTTCAAGAATTCCATGATTTATTAACAACCTCAATCTTGCACATCTAGCACAGTAAATTTTTATAATCGCATTCTGAGGTAGAGTGGGAAAATACTTTTTTAACTTTTCAAGATTAATGTCCATTATCAAATGAGAATTGGAAGAGAGATTCAAAGAATTG